CGGGAGTAAAATAATTATTTGTTCCACTTCGCGTCAACCTAATTACTACGTTCGAAGTACGTTTTATTAATACCTATTTTATGTGCAGCATTCATTTCATAACGAATAAAGATTCCAATCGGACGATTTGTTGTTGTTATTCTACAGTTTTAAAATGTGATATCGTAAATAGGGCAAATCAAAGTTTCAACACACGCTCGCATAATAATATAATTGTTACGTTTAAATTAGGTATTGCTATACTTTTTTTTTTATTATTATTATTTTTCGAGTTCGAAATAGATCATTGTAGGTTATTATTGACTGTCAATAAAATTACACGAGTGTTGCATTTAATAAAACTGTACTATGTCATCGGCAAAAATGATAATAATTGAGTTTTTCACTGCGATATGAAATAATATTGCACTGCTTGGTATACATGCATCCGTATATAATATAAATGTCAAGGTTGCTTTTTTTCATAAAAACCTACCAAGCGCATATTATTTTCTGTGTATTACATGGTTATTTTACTATTTTTGTATAAGTATATATATATATATTTAGTATCTATGAATTAGGTATGCATTTATACAGTTTACGCTTGATTTCGATGCATTTACCATAAATATATTGCATCGATATCGATTCGAAATAACACTATCACGGTTATGAATTCACAGAATAATAAGGAAGATAAAATATGGAGTTATGGTTAAAATCATCTACGATGGATAAATTATGTTATTTTTGTGCCAAAAAAGTCGCATACACATTCAATGGCATATCGCAAAACAATTATATATTTGTAGCCTTGACCTCTTACCCAAAACTTTGGAAAACATTATATCAATCCGATATTTTCTGTACTGAAAACAATTTGTTATTTATGTACCAATACATTGTCACACCACAAATCACACAACGGCATGCAGTTTATTATTTAGAACGCAGACGATTTCTTATTTCTTGTAAAAATATACGATGCGCGTAAACTGTAACCTCGAAAACATTATGAGAAATATCCGATTGCAATAGATCATATTATTATTTCAATAATGATCGTCGGAAACGCATTCGATTGTAAACGAGCCAATTAATAAAAGGAAAAAAAAATTCTCTCTTTCCGCGTCATTATCCACAATTATACAGTCGTCGTCAGCACCAAATATATATATATATGTATATATGTATACGCAATACGTGGTCGCACATAGATTAGGTATGTAAATATATCTATCGCAAGTTCCCGTCGTCGCTACCGACGGCCATAAAATTTCAGTCTGGCACCGCACCGCTCACACGATATAATATATCCATAACCCCCCCCCCCCCCCCCACCGGGGCCGCGCTAGTATCGTAAATCGAAATTCCCCTGGGCGTATAGGTACTATACACTTCAGCCCGAACAATATATATATATATATGTACTATCCATCCCCGAAAACCTGCACTCCTGCTATATAACGACGACGACGACTCCCGCTTCCCGTGCACACATTATATGGCCAGGATCGGTGCGGGTTCGGCGCGCGTTTGTTACGGCGGCGGCGGCGGCGGCGGCGGCATAAACGAGCAAATGTAAAATATATTACTCGGGAAACTCGTTGCGTAATGAATTCGCCATAAAAAGGTTGATGAGATTCGGAAGAAGTGCTATAAAAAAAAATAAAAATAAAAATAAAAATAAAAACGGGGGCGAAAGTAAACGGAGCGCAGTTAAAGTTCGCAGCAATGTGTTCAACAGACATTTTCACACTAAGTACCGCCGACAACTACGGTGGTGCTATGCAAGCGCGTGTATATACGATGTATATATATACAATTTAACACTTGCCGTTTTTCTCGCGCAAAGTGGACGGCGCACAGCCGTGAAGTATCTGCGCGTTTAAAATAATTGAGAGATGTGTTTGAGTTCGCTCGAAAAGTTGTTAAAATATAACCGGCGGCGGCGGCATTCTCATTTGAATTCGCTCCGTTTCTTTTATGAGTGTATAAAACAAATAATATATCCGTTCGTGCGACGACGCAGCGTCGGTCTCGCGATTACTCGCCTACGTACCCTGCAAACTATAAAGGGATCATATACTCGAACGCAATATTACCATAATAATATTGGACGACTCCTATTGGAATTCCCCGTGACAGTGCCCATCATCAGCTACCTACAGGCTCGTCCCTAGGAGAGGGTCTTCGGGGACTGGAGCCCTTGAAAAGAGTCAGTGGCCACCTCGGCTATAATTTTTATCCCGATGTATTGTTATGCGATAGGTATGACAAATAGTCGTAAGACAAATTAAATTCTAAGATTCAATAAATTATATGACGAGGGGGAAGTGTGACGGGTTGAGTGTACACCTGACGGAGTAAAAGACATTGGCCTCTTTTATGGAAAAGTTCCTAGCTGGACGTCTCCCTCCGATATTCGACCATAATTATTGTAAGGCATGTACAAACGTACAGCCACAATAATTACTACCTATTTCCTGTTGGTGATTCGTGTCCTCGAACGAGAGAATACACTCGCAAGTACGTTATTTCGCGAGCTCGATATGTTATCATTATATAGTTATTGTCCGAGCCCCTAGGATGTGGTTATCCTAAACAAAATTACATTACCTCGTTACTCGACTCGTGTGTGAACCTAAATACGAAGTGTATCCTCGTTTAGTTGTTGTGTAGCTGCAATGCTCGACCTAATAATCAAAGCGAGCACTGCCTGTGGATGGGGTTACTGCTGCTCGATTTCGGATTTCCGCACACGCGTTTTTGAGACGAGATGAGCTTATATTATTATTGTAGTTTAGTAGTGTACAGATGGAATTTAGTTTCTCAAATATTAGGTTTAATCTCGGCTCGTATATAAACAAGTCAAACTTTTCATCGTCGTCGTAGTATACAAATGTGAAATGTAAGCATCGCGCAAAAATACACACAACCCTTTTGTTTGCCTACGTTTGAGATTTTAGAGCGATTCGGTATGAAATACCACACAAACCGTCTTCGCGTGTATTTGATGCGATTTAAAGAAGGAAAGAAGCGTAGCGAACCCTCAATAATTTAACAACGTCGCCACAAAAACGTAAGCCCCGACAATTCGTCGTCAAATTAACGTTAGTTTTATAACACTACAATTTTTTTTTTTTATATAATTATTTTATTAACTGCTTACTAGTACAAACCAATTATAGATAAACAATAATTATATAATACCACAGTGATGTTGAAATAACGTTTTTAAAAGCACTGTGACGTACAAAATATGTGCAATGCCTATAGCGATGTTATAATATTATTATATGTGTAATAAAGTATTACGTACACATAATAATCGATGTAAAACGAAATATGCTCACTTCGTTATAGTATTAATATGATGTAACCGATATCTGTGGACCAACCGCGGTAAACTCTGGCCCGGCCGAGACGTCGTATCATTTTCTGGACCGCATAACATTTTCCATGTACGCCTATGGTTATACATATAATTTTCTAGCAATTATACGCAACACGCGCGTTTCGAACGAATCTCGTTGTTATTACCATATATACGCCGGTGCGTATAATCTCGGAGAACCGATTACAAATAACAATCATGTCACGATCGAGTCGAATACACGGCGGTCGTGCACGTGTTGCAGTCGTGACGTCAATACTTATAGACACGATAGATGCGCTACCTCCGAAGGGTGGGTCTCCTTGACGCGGTCGCGACGCACTCGTCGAGTCTCGCCGCGAGCAGGTAAATCTTCCGACGTCGAAACGTCGATCCGGAACGGTGTGCAGAACATTTGGTTAAGTAAACTCGGAAGAAAATATTACACACACACACACACAAAATATTATGCGCTCGTCGCAGTACTCAGACGGCGCCCCTCCGTGCACGAGTGTGCTTAATATGTATATATATATATATATATATATATATAATATAGACACACAATAATACATTATTATGTGCACACGAAAGCTGAGGGTATATTATACGCTCGCGGTTCGTCGAACCAAACGTCTCCGCTCTCTGTACTGTATCGTCTTTATTCGCTGTCTCTCTCTCTCAGTCTCTTCCTCTCTCTCACTCGGCCAACAACTGACGATTTCCCGCCGCAAATGTACCGGCGGTGAGCGTTTGCCGGCGGTTTTTCGTTCAGACCGGATTATATGATCTCTATCCGATGTAATGAGACAGTGTGTGTGTGTGTGTGTGTGTGTGTGTGTGTGTGTGTGTGTGTGGGTGGGTCTGAATGCCTGGGTGTGCGGGCGCCGCGGTACGCGACGACCGACTCACTCTGCCAAGTGTTTATATACTGCGCGAGCCGTAGTCAATAACGAAAAATTACCGTCATTAAAACATGTCATCGAAATGTAGGTGCCTAATGACGATAGTAATCTTGTATCGGTTTAGAATTGATAGAAAACGTAAAAATAATAGTTTTTATACGGGTATGATATTACAAATGCCCAAAATTCGAGCAAATTAAAAACCTAATTATCTTATGAATGCCCTTAATTATTATGAATTCGATTTGATAGATTGGGAAGTAATATTTTATGCTCTCAGCCCTGACACTTGGATATGTTTTTTTTATGATTATATTTTTAAGTCTCGGTTGAGATTTCGAGCTTGTCCTTGATTTTTTCCCTTTCCGTGATTCATCTAACATATTGTTATACTTCGTTAATTATCATTTGTGCATTACATTAAATATACACGATGAGTTTAGACATATTTAAATTTTTGATATCTGATAAACCGCAATCATAACTAAACAATTAATCCATTTATTTCATTCTAAAACGTTAGTAATAATATGTCTTCTAGAAACTGTTTCACAAATCAAAATAGGTACACAATTAAATTGTTATTACAACGTTGAAATGTCACATAAATGTACCTCACTGCCATTTGTACCTAGCGTAATGACAATATTTGAAATCTGTTTTAAAAACAATAGAAATTAGATGATAATGGGTATAGTTTTAGAATGACAACTAACTATTTGTTTCTCCGTTTACAGTTGGCAGCTCGGAAGACGTTAAGTCAGCAGATTTGAGCAAGTTAAATATGTCGAGGCGGTCAAAACCGGTGGCGAAAGCTATGTCTCCCAACAGACAGGGTCCCCAGCAGTGTATTGTAAGTACCTACTACTTATATATATTTTTGCAATATATTTATACATTTATTTACGGCTGTAAACTGCAAAATCAGCACGATACATGGTTCAATTGCATATAAGACCCATTATTTCACTATGGTCATTCATAAATGAGAGAAAAACAAAAGCAATAGAAAATGATAAATCGCTATAATATTGCTTCAGCATAAAGCAGTAAAGCATAGTAAAGCATAATATTGAGCAAAGTGGTTTCTTTCTAACTGTAATAACGTTTGAAACCTTCAAACCCATATTAATATTATTATTATAATATAATATTATTTGCAGACTAAAAGGTACTCCACCGGTGTACCCACTAGTTATATATTATACCGACGGCTATGTAAGCAGACAGGAGTGTTATTAACGATAATATTCCCTTATTCCCCTTCCCAATAGTCAAACTCGAAACAGCTTTAAACGAGCACAAAAGTTTGTGTATGAACATGACGTTGAACAATAAGACGGTTATATACTATATAGTCTTCAGCCCTATAGTCATTAAATAATAATCCGAATGCGCGGCGGAATACCCCGTGGTATAGGTAACCTAAAAATTCAAATCCAACATGTTTCATCGCTTTTAATTATTTTATATAGCTAGAGTACCTACGCCTGCTTTATTTAGTTTTTATCCTTGTAAAAGAAAAAAAAAGCAATTGCCAACCGGCGAAAACGTCGAAAGTCGAAAAAGTTTCACCCGGTACTACAGCTCTGTAGTGCAAGTCGACCGTAGAAAATATGTTTTAATTAACGTTTTCTCATTAACTCGTATAATCAATTAATCAAGAATGCAACAAATTTCAATAAACCTAGATTAACGTGAGTCTGTCACAGAATATATACACAACATGAATTCAAATTAAACTTCAAATCCGATTTATGCTACTACAATACCGCGAATAACTTTCTTTGGTGAATAATTAATACACTTTTGATTTAATTACGATTGATTTGCGTACCGTGGGGCCATTATGGTCGATAATATTATGTTAAGTCTCGACATATTATTTTTCAATCAAACAGTTTGCGTTATCGTAAAAAAGGGTTTAGATCAACTCATCATCGAACATTGTTCGCCAGTCACGCTCTATCTCTCTTCTCATTACGGGCCATAAATCTTAATTACGCAACGACTTCTCAGTAACTTCCTGCAGCAGGGACCATTCAACTTTCTCGTAATCCTTGACATAATAATTCTTAAGTTGCCGTCTTGCGAATCCCTCGATGACCGCTGGATGTGCTTCCCTATTTCTTCGTCATAACCAAGGGTGTATTGTGCCACGATATTATAAACCACACAAAAGTTTTCTCGGTATTTTATAAATCACGAACACAAACGAATATTTTGACTGCTAAATTCGTCTTCGCTTAATCTAAAAAGGGTCGACATACCACGGAGATAATATTTGGAGCGTGAAAGTTTCCTCAACTCGTAAATTATTGTTAACTTCACACATATATATATTATACTTCCATCAACATTTTTCCCCAAGACACGAGATCATAACAAAGTGGAACAAAAAAAAACTATACAGTGTATACACTTTCATATCTTATAATATCCATGAAGTATATTTTGTTTATCTGTGCGAAAAACAAAAAATTAAAGTCCGGAATGAAAAGTTTTCCCTCCAGAAAAAAAAACATTTTTTTTCCTCCAAATAATTGGATAATTCAATTTCGTTCTTCCGTCGTTCGATGGCGTCTGTGCGTCCACAATAAACATGATAATATAATAATAATCTTATCAATTCATATAAATCTAAAGTGGAATATAAATTGTTGTTTATCGCGACATTTTGATATTCAGTCGAATTACGTACCATATAATAATATGTATCCCGGGCACTAAGAAATATTATTGTTTGAACTTAAAAACCTTTTCGGATCTGCCCTTTTATAATACATGTTCGTAATAACACCGTAACCTGTATATACTGATAATACTCGCGTACTATATACAGCATACTCCTTACTATTATAGACCATGTGGTGGGTATTATAATGCTATTTTGTTTTTATTAAAGACGGCACCGATGTAATGTTGTCGAAAGGACGACTTTTTTTTTATAATTCCATTATCTTTCACGGGAACGTTTCACAATATGTTCCTCAAAGTAGATTTAGACACGTTCGTTTAAAGAAAACAATAAAGAGAAACTTAGAACGTGCTTTACGTACATTTTTTTCCCCGACGAAATGATAGTTTTCTAGATAGGATCACGAAAGACCGTTTCAGTCATTGCTATTGTTTAATCCTCCGTCCAAAGTCCATTTCATTTTCACCTCCTTGTTTTCGTCGGTCTTATTATATTTATTTTCTCGTCTTCTCTTTCAAATAATACTAAACCAAAATCTCCACAAGCAAAAAAAAAAACACTCTTTTGTACAATTATTTCAAAAGTTCAGACAATTATTATCAAATATTAGAAAATAATTGAAACATAATATTATTAAAACAGAGACCATAGGAGCATTGCGATTTTCGATCAACTTATATGATAATTATTAATTATTGATCGTTTGTACCTCTACATTAGATCTCATCCAAACCTAACTTTTCACATAATTGTTTTTTTTTTTTTTTTAACACAGTTAAAACATTATATTAATGAGATAACAATAATTGTATGAAATTCGTAAAATTGTTATTTGATACTTTTGTACAGTCAAATTGATTTAACATTGAGCATAATAACCATTGGCGTATCTAGAGAAAAATTGGGTGGATTAGCCCCCAACCCCAAAACATACAATTATTTGTAAACGGCACACATAACTACTTCTTTCAATTTATCTAAAATAGTATAAAATAATTAATACATGTACTTTGAAACTTTATTCCAGTCATGCATACTTTGATCTTAGTTTATAATATAGAAAGTAGATGGTAGCATACATTTAAAGACATATTTCAACTAAATTGTTCTTCGTGTGATGTGATTTTATATTATACATATATATATTATTTTTCATTAATTTCAGTATTAATAAATGTTATACAATTACATTACTCAATTATTATTATTATTATTATTATTATTTATTAATGCATATGCCTTAATTTTATCAACGAAAAAATCTAATTTTTCAAAATAAATGCACTGGAAACAGTTTGAATACATATTCTAACTATGACATCATAATTAAACTCTTTCATTCATAACAAGCACTTGTAAACAAGAAGAATTATATTATTAATTATCCTTGAAAGTCTTTTTATGGTTTCTTTTTTTCCGAGAATATTATAATTGTCATGATAAACATGCGTAAAGGAAATCATTGAGGTAGAAAATTAAATCACTTGGTTAATATATTAAAAATAATAGTAGGTATGTTCATTTTTTCATTCAAAAGTCTGATTATTCTATTTGAACAAAATTTTAGTTTTTTTCATTCCGAAATAAAATTGTATGTTTAAACCAATCCAATTAAAATATTTATTAAAAACTGTAAACATCTCTACACAAAATAATTAAAGATATTTTTTTGTTACAAACAAAATTACTATTTACATAGTTTCAAATATTTTTTTTTGCAAAGAATTAGCATGTTTATTAAACATGTTATGCTTTTACTTTTGAAACATTATAAACTAATAATATATTTTTTTAAATGCTATATTTGATTAATAATCTAATAATAATAAAACACAAAGGGACCTGGGGACATAATAATTACTCTTCTGGTTTGAAGTAATTTTGTTTGACTTGTCTGATCCTCTATACAGTCTATACCTAAAATTGTATTGTCATATTAATTATCCTAAAATCTATAAACAATCAAACCATTGTGCAGCTAATATTATGTATACAAACATTTCCATTTTATGATAAACACAAAACGTATTCAAAAACATTGAAAAGTTTTATTTTACTCGTTGTTAATCTTCTTATAAATATTGGACATTGCATTTATTTTATAGAATTCGATAACGCTTGAAATGTTTCAATATCTAAAAAAAAAGTTTTTATTCTTACCCATTACCTTTGCATTACAATTTTATTGTTATTCAAATACGGCTGCATATGCAATCGATGATTGTTGTTTTATGTACGTTCAAGTAATAATGTTTTTTTTTTTTTGTTCTCCTAAACGTTAGCTTCATAACACGTGTGTTGAATAATAATAATAACAATCGCATTTTATTACCAACTCTGTAGTGGTACTTGAACTTTTGTTATCGGTTATGAAACCATGACAAACTGTTATAAACAAAAAACTCATCCATTATAAATGCCGTATTTATATCGCTGTGTATTTGTGTTCTTTAAATTAGTTTATTAACTGAAAAAAAAAAGTCGTACCCCCACAATAATACATCATCAAGCAGCGAAATACTGTTTTGAACATTTTCCGTCGCATTGACGTTGACTAATTTCGGGTGTCAAACTAAATGAATCGCTAAACATTTCACCGTGCTAACTGTATTATATGTCTTGTCATATCCACCTCGACATATATCGTCAGCGGTGCTGCGTGTAACTCGCACTGCACCGCTGTGGTCCCACGCCGTCCCATCGCCCACCGCACACCTGTTGGCCGATTCCCTCTGCACAAACGTTTGTAAGTCGATCACGAACGCATACATCACGAACCTGCCGGCAAAACTTTAGCGGCGAAATTCGCGAGTGTGCAGCACCGCATAGGCGTATAGGCACATCGCGTGTATATTAATGCACCCCGCAGGAGGCGTTTTCTGGAAGTTTGTAGCGCCGTTGATCGGAGAAAACGCACAGACGGATACGAAAAAACCACTCGGCACACTTTGCGCCACACAACACGCGCGCAGGGCGGACTCGGAAGTTTCCAGAGAATTATTTTACGACGTGTAGTGCCGAATGAGATATCCGAAACGGGCGGGGAAACGGCCGGGGCTTATAAAATTATGCGACAGTCGCGCACACACATGTTTGCGGGTGTGTGGGTAGGTGTGTGCGGGTGTGTGGGTGGGTGTGCGTGCGTGTGCGCCCGC